CGTGCTTTGCGGAAGGTGAGGAGCAGATGGAGGCAATCCTACAGCGGCCAGGGAAACCACCGCCGCTGCAGGCGGACGCCCCCGCAGCAGCGGGGGCGTCAGCAGCGGAGGGCCAAAGCAGCAGCAGCGGTGGGCCTTTTGTCGCCCCCGCGGCAGCGATGGCGACAGCAAGAGGAAGTCGTGCTGCGAGTGTTGGCGATTGCCAACAGCTCCAGAATCGACCAGAGCACGAATACTTGACCCTGCGCGGGCGCGAGGACAAGTCCTTGTGCATCGCTGCGCGCGCAAATCTGTGCCACGGAATGCGGCTGCTCCACTGGGAAAGGAGTGTCGACGGCCACTGCAAAAGGGAACAAGATGGAAGCTTTCTCGAGGATCATGGCGGTTGAGGTCTACTTCGATCAAACCTACGCCCACTTCGGCTCGAAAGTGCGGGCGTGCGCGGTGCACCTCCACCGCGACACGGCGAAAGCTCCCAAAGGCTTTAAGGAGGCGCACAAGACGTGGTGGCGGAGGCTGGCGGCCATCTTGCAGGAGAACAACGTTGACATCCTTTGTGGGGATTTCAACATGGCGCTCACACAGACGCTGCCGAGTCTTCGGGGTCTAGGCTTGCGATTGGAGACGGCAGCAGCGTACTTCTGGCGCGGATTGGACGGCGCTCCGTGCTTGGACAGCTGCGGCATCTTCGTTCTCAACAGGCCTGGCGAGTACACCCTGCGCTGGCCGCTGAGCGCCGTGCACGACAGAGACGAGGCGGGGTTGCTCTTCGCACGCAAGTCGGTGATCGGTGAGATCGGGCACCGCAACAGAAGCAAGGCAGAGGCCCCCGCAGCAGCGGGGGCCTCCACCAGCCCATCATCGGAGCCGACGTACTGGCACCACTGCCAGGAAGGAGGCCCTGGGATGCCTTACGATCGCTACTGCCCGAAAAAAGACGCCCGCGAGCACCTCCAGGATTTACTGACTCAGCCAGAGGAATGCCAACGCAAGATCCAAGAGAAGGAGCGTGAGAAACTGAGGCGCGCCGAGGCTGAGGCTAGAGGGGACCACCGCTTCTCTAATAATCGCGAGGTGACCCTCTTCCGCGCGTTGCAGAAGACGTTCCCGCCGGAGACCGTGGAGGTGGAGGGGCGCTGGCACGGCGGCGCCCACTACCCTCTCCTGTTCCAAATGCGCATGGCCAGCTCGCGTTCGGAGGGGAGGAAGCAGGGGAGAAACAGAGAGAAGAAGGACAGGCGCGCCCAGAAACAGCAAGCAGCTGCGCTCCAGGGCGCCGCAGCAGTGGCGCCCGAGCAGCACGGGCCCGAGCGCCAGGCACCAGAGCAGCACCGCGAGAGGGGCGAGCAAGACGAGCGCGCCCAACAGGCGTGGCGCCCGCCAAGATGGGCAGACGAAAACGCGGACGACGGCCGCGACTGGCCCGCGGCTGGCGATGGAAGGTCGCGGCGGGGGTTTGAAAGGGGGAGGGAGGGAGAGGGAGGGTGGAGCACGGGGATGGCAGGAGGGAGGAGAGGGAATGAGGAAGAGGCTGAGCAGGACGAGGGATGACATAAGGAAATGAGTGTCGGGAAGGGGCGGGAGTGGACAGGAAGGGGATAATGATAGAAATAGTTACTTGTCACCCCCGAGGTGGCAGCCGGCCCCGCAGTGGCCATCTCCAGGGCCTGCGCCGCTGGAGCAGCGAGGGCAAGGGTTGCAAGAACAGCAGCCGCGGGAGGCGCCGCGGCATCAGCCGCCAGAGCCCCCGCAGCAGCGGAGGCCACAAACGCCACGGCAGCAACCAACAGACGAGGAGTGGCGCAGGGATGAGTGGTGGCGCACCAAGGAGGGCGAGGAGCGCGAGTGGCAACAGCCGAGCGGCGAGGCTTCCTCGCTGCAGGACCGCATGGTCGACTCCGCCTGGCGCGACATGCAAGTTGCATTCGGCAGCGACCACCGCCCCAGTGACTGGTGGAGCAGCCACAGTGGGTGGAGTAGCGGCCAGGGGCACTGGGAGGTCGCGACCACGACTTGGAGGTGGGTCGAACCCCCCCCCGAAACCAATCCCTGGGAAAAACTTAGCTGAACCATCGCACAGGAGCCGCCCCTCCGCAGCAGCGGAGGGAAACCTCATCGGCCGAACGTCGACCCTCCGCAGCAGCGGAGGCCTTGCCAACGCATCGTGAGCGGCGGCGACTCGCGCGCGCCGTCGTGCTCGGCGGCCGCTGCCCGAGCGGAGAACGAAAAAGAAACGGTGCTTTCATCGGTGCTGTCGTTGCCTCCTCTCCTTCATCGTTTTCTTCTCCCTCCCCCTCCAATCCCCCATCCCGCTATCACATTTTATCGTCTCCAATCGTATCGGGAGCTCCCGTGGCAGAAGAGCACCCAGAACGAGGTCCTCCGTGACAGAGGGGGGGCATCTCAGACCCCCTCTGTGACAGAGGGGGGGCATATTTGACCCCCTCTGTGACAGAGGGGGGGCCAAAAAACAAATGATCACTTTAATGCGGCTTCTGGATTACCCTTATCGTACCGATGATGCTGCTGATGATGACGTCGACGACGATGAGGATGCTATTGATTATGATGATGGTAATGATGATGAAAATGTTGATGATGATGCTGATGATGATTACGAGCGTGGTGGTACTGGAGATGATGATGGAGATGATGACGCCGTTGATGATGACGCCGATGACGATGACGACTATGATAATTATGATGTTGATGATAGCGATGTCGGTAATGATGTGGTTTTGATGATGCTGATATTGATTAAGATTATGGTTATGATTCGGATGGGTAGGATGAACCCCGTGGTGATTTTGATGATGATGATGCTGATGCTGATGATGATGATGATGAGGATGAGGATGAGGATGATGAGTTGGTTGATTATGGAAATGATGGTGATGATGTTGCTGGTGATGATGACGGTGACGATGCTGATGGTATGGGGTATGATGATATTGCTGCTGTTGATGATGATGACGATGATGATAGTGGTGATCATCCTGATGTTGATGATGAGTACGATGATGTTGATGCTGCTGATGATGATGCTGATGATGATACTGATGCTGATGATGATGCTGATGACTATGGTGACGACCATGAGGAGGAGGAGGAGGAGGAGGAGGAGGAGGAGGAGGAGGAGGAGGAGGAGGAGGAGGAGGAGGAGGTGGAGATGGAGCAAGAGGATGAGAAGGAGAAAGGGCATGATTTAGTGATGGGACGTGGGTACATGGAGGTGTGGGTTCAGTCGACTGTGGAGGCCTTTTGAAAGTGCTTGGGTTTTAGCGGGGCTTCAGGATGGAGTCCAAGGACGCTTCACTTCTGGATGCCTCATGCGAGCGTCTTGGGGCTCTGAGGAAGCCTCGTTGGCCTTTTCTTGGGAGCGTCTTAAACCCTCTTGCAGGGATCGTGGGACCTTTTGAGGAGCTTCTTGGCGGTCTCTAGGGTTATCTTTGGCCACTGGGCCCCTTCCTTTCACCCACTTGAGCGCCTCTATGAAGGCCGTCTGGGGCCTTCTTGGCCCTTTTTGGGAGCCTCTTGGGTCTTGGTGGTCTGTTGGGCTGTTCAGGGGGCCTCTTGGGCCGCCTTGGGGGCATGCTTGGGTCGTCCTGGGGCGATCTTGGGGGGGCCCTTCGGCCTTCTTGGGCTGTCGAAAGCTCGGCAGGACGCAGACGTCAGCATCATGCAACAGCCAACATGGAACATCGTCGATTTACGCCTCTCGAAACCTCTTGGAGGTGCTCCTTGCGCTGCCTGGACTGGGTGCCGTCTGCAGCCTCACGGGGGCGTCTGGATGCGATCTCGGGGAGAGTCGGAGGCTTCTTGTGAGCCTCCTGGGGCCTCTTTGGGCCGACCTGGAGGCGTCCGGGGGCCAGTTTGGGAGGTGCTGGGAGGACCGTGGGGGGCACAAGCAGATGCCAAGGTGGGTAAAGATCTGGCCCACCCTGGCTTGCAAGTGGGGCGCACATGCCCCACGTAGCCCGGGAGGGGTTAGCAATCCTCCGCGGGCGCCTCCTGGGCCGTCTTCAGCCCCGGCGGGGGCGTCTGGATGCGATCTCGGGGAGGGTCGCAGTCCTCCTGCACCTCCTGGGGCCTGTCTGGACCAACATGGAGGCGTCCGGGGGGTAGTTTTGGGAGGTGCGTTCTCGGACGTGATCGCGTCGTGTTTAAAAAAATCAGGGCGGCACGTTTTTTGTTATGTTCTGCCCCTGGGGGCCCTCGCTGGGCCCCGGGACCGTCAGGAAACGATTCAGGATGACAAACCGGCCCCGGGGATAGGGTTGGGACTTCTGGTGACTGGGTGGGCGAGCTGGTACACCCTCACTCCCCCGGCCCCCACCCTTCGGATTTTGGGCCCCATGGGAGAGGGTCAGGGGCGGCCAAGAGGGGGGTGATGACTTTGGGGGGGGGGGATCTCAGTGCGTGGGCCATGATCTGTCCTCAGATTTCATGGCGCCTCTTCTCATGTCATGACGTCCCTGCCCCCCCCCCATGGACCGCGCACGTGCCGCCGGCCTTGATTTTTGCGCCCCCCCTCTCGGACGCCCCCCCCCTTCTGCCCGCCCCCGAGAGGGGAGCAAGGGGAAGGGAGGCCGCCGATCCTCTCGCACGCCTTTGCGCCCCCGGCCCGCGAGGGGCTCGGCGGCTCCTCCTGCGGCCGGCACGAGGGCGCGCGGCCCCGCTCGGCGGGACGCACCGCGGTGGGGTCGCACCTGCAGGCCTCGCCGTGCGGCGCCGGGGCCCCCCCGGCCATCGTGCCGCGGCGTCGGCGGCGTGCCCTCGCTGATGGGCCTGTTTCCCACCACCACCACCATAAGTTGGAGGGGGGGAGGAGGACGAGGAGGAGGAGGAGGAGGAGGAGGACGAGGAGGAGGAGGAGGTGGAGGAGGACCCCCTCCCCCTCCAACTTATGGTGGTGGTGGGGGTGGAAAACAGGCCCGTCACCCGCCGCTGGCGCCTGGCCGTCCGCCCCTCCTCCGCCCGGCCCCTCGAGGGAGCTGCAGGCCCGCCCGCGGGCCCGCGGGCGGGTTGCGGGCCTCGAGCGCCGCGGCCGGCAGCTGGCTGCTCTCCACGCAGATTATCGGAAGGGGGAGGGGGGGGGGAGGGCTGCCCCTCGGCCCCCGGCGCTGCCAGGGAGCGGCCCCGCGGCGCCCCAGCGGAGCTCCGCGGCCCACCGCAGCACCGCCCGCCGCCCCACCTCCCTCCATCCTCCGTCCTCGCACCCCTGATGTTCGCCCTCCCCCCTCCCCCCAAACCCAGATCTCCAATCCTCCATCCTCCCACCTTTGATTCATTCTGGTCCTGCACGTGGCCCAAGCCCAGGCCTCCAGACGCTCGGACTGCATCGAGCCTGAGGCTCTTCAGCAGCTTGGGCCTCCTGGGAAGGGCGCTTGTTCGGGTCCCCGCGGACCGTCGATGAACAGACAACCGCGGGATGGAAAGGCCGTTTCGGAGAAGTGGTCGAGGGGTATTCGAGAATGTTGCTCCGAGCGATGCCCACAGGAACCTTCGGAATTGTTCCCGATTCTGCGGGCGCCTGTTGGAACGACGCCTTCTGCGATGTTCGACTCTCTGGTTTACGATGCTATACTCCGTTTTGTTTGGGTTCTCAATGGTGCCATTTGTCATGTTGTGGCTAATTATGTGATGCTATGTTTCTGTTTACTATAATATTTCCGCTTCTGTTCCGCACAGGTCTGTCCACACTGGTATGTCCTGTCTTGTTTCACTCTCTCATATAGTTTGCAGCAGTCTTAGTGTCACAACCGTCGTAGTAGTAGAAGTAGACGTAGTCGAAGTAGTAGTAGTAGTAGTAGTAGTAGTAGTAGTAGTAGTAGTAGTAGTAGTTGGTGGTGGTGGTGGTGGTGGTGGTGGTGGTGGTGGTGGTGGTAGTAGTAGTAGTAGTAGTACTAGCAGCAGCAGCAGTAGTAGTAGTAGTAGTAGTAGTAGCAGTAGTAGTAGTAGTAGTAGTAGTAGTAGTAGTAGTAGTAGTGGTCGTAGTAGTAGTACTATTATTATTATTATTCGAAATAGTAGTAGTAGTAGTGGCAGTGGCAGTAGCATGTGTAGCTGTAGTGGTAGTAGTCGTAGTAGTAGTAGTAGTAGTAGTAGTAGTAGTAGTAGTAGTAGTAGCAGTAGTAGTAGTAGTAGTAGTAGTAGCGGTGGTGGTGGTGGTAGTAGTAGTAGTAGTAGTGGTAGCAGTAGTAGTAATAGTAGTATGTGTAGCACTTGTAGTAGGAGTAGTCGTCGTCGTCGTCGTCGTCGTTGTCTGTCTTCGTTGTTGTCGTCGTAGTCGTGGCTGTAGTTGTAGCAGTAGTAGTAGTAGTAGTAGTAGTAGCAGCAGCAGTAGTAGCAACAGTCGGCGCAGTCATAGTAGTAGCTGTAGCAGTCCTGATGTTAGTTGTAGTCGTAGTAGTCGTAGTCGTAGTAGTAGCAGCAGCAGCAGCAGTAGTAGTAGTAGTAGTAGTAGTAGTCGTAGTAGTAGTAGTGGTAGTAGTAGTAGCAGTAGCAATAGTAGTAGTAGTAGTCGTAGCAGTAGTGGTAGCAGTAGTAGTAGTAGTAGTAGTAGTAGTAGTAGTAGCAGTAGTAGTAGTAGCAGTCGTGGTAGTAGTAGTAGTAGTAGTAGCAGTAGTAGTAGTAGTGGTAGTAGTAGAATTATTTTTATCATTATTATTATTATTAGTAGTAGTAGTAGTAGAAGTAGAAGCAGTAGTAGTAGTGATAGTGGTAGCAGACGTGGCAGTAGTAGTAGTAGTAGTAGTAGTAGTAGTAGTATGAGCAGCAGCAGCAGCAGCAGCAGCAGCAGCAGTAGTAGTAGTAGTAGTAGTAGTAGTAGTAGTAGTGGTGGTTATCTGGCGTGACGTCGTGACGCCTGTCACGTTTGATACGCCGTCCAATCGGTCGTTGTTCCGCATGTTTGGTCCAGTGGCTAGCCCGACCTCGGCGCGAAAATATCTTTTGATGATGACATAGCATGGTACGTTATGCGATTCTGTTCGTTTTGAATAGTGCACCTGTTCTTCTAAAGGATGCCCCTCTGCTCCGCGGCACAGTGCTATTGCATAATATGTTCCGTCATGCTAAGTTATGCTCTGCGTTGCTGAGTGACACTGTTTACGCTATGTTGTGTCCATTGTAGTGCAGTTCGATATGTTCCAGTACGGCATACCTCGTCAGTTCACTAATTGGCTTCAGTCGCTGGACATGCATAATCTGTGATGCTGGTACCGTTGTTACCTGTTCATGCTGTTACTTTACAGTGTGCTATGCCATGGTGTTCCTCTGCAATATGTGAAAGCCTACGGTGTGTTAGTAAATGCCGTCGTCATTGCAGCACTAGTGACAAACTTCTGATACGCTCTGCTATGATGTGTAATGGTATGCCCTACAATGCTCCGCTATGGCAAGGTATGTGTTGTTATGCCATTGTTGGTTTGGGGCTGCGTTGTGTCATCCTTGCGTACGCCATGTTAATTGCAACTAAAGTATAAGATTGCTTATCCCGGTATGAAATGATATGATTTCGCGTGTGATGTAACGGTGTGTTTTGTGATCCCGTAGTATGTTACAATACCATATCACATGCCATCGTGTGACATTACATGACGTGTTATGCTATTGCATGTTCTGCCATGCGCCGTTCCTTTCTGATACGTGGTGCTGTGCTATGGCCTGTGTGCACCGTTATGCCATTGTATGCGTTGTTATGGTGTGTCCGTTTATATACTATGTTGACTTGATGCGCCTTGCTCTTGTGTTTTATTTTATTGCATTGTGCTACGGGATGCTATAGTATGTTCTGCAACAATATGCGATGATAAGGTGTGTGATGTAATGTCACGCTGCGTGATGTGATGCTGTGATACGGTATGTTATGTTATCTCGAACTCATGAGGTGTGGTGCGTGGTAGGACATGTATGCCCCGTAGTGTCATGATATGTGGTGTTACGCTATGCTTTGGCCTTCTATGCTATAGCATATGACGCCGCAATGTGTCACGCCATGATTTGCCATGCTGTGGAATGCTCTGTGTTGTGATGCTCTGTTGTGCTAGGGTTTGGTATGTAATGGTTTGTTATGGTATGCTCTGTTCTGTCGTGATATGTTGTATCATGGTCTACGAGTCAATGTTATGAAGTCTGGTCGCATGCTCTGTTCTGCATGCTCTGCTCTGTCATCGCGTGCGCTGCGGTGCTGTGGTATGCTATGCTATGCCATGTTATGGTATGCTGTGCTGTTGTCGGCTTTGGCACGTTCAGGTCTGGTATGCTTTATTATGTCGTGCTTGTTGCCATGCCGTTGAATATTATATGATGTGCTGTGGTGTTGTGCAATGCAGTGTTTTGTCATAGTGTGTTATGTTGTGTTATGTTATGTCATGTTGTGAGATATAACGTCCTGGTATGTCATACCATTTGGGAGGTGGTATGCTCTGTTTTGTATGGTCCGCTGTGCCATATCTTACGATGTTATGCTATGCAAGGTTCTGTTCTTGTAGAATACGTTGTGCCGCACCCTGTCATGTTACGATTTGTTATGTTATGCAAAGCTTTGTGCTGTGATGCTTTTTTATGTTCTACTTTGTTTCGTGCTCGTCGACGGCGCCAGGCGGGAACCTCGGGGGATACTCGGTGGACTTCGGGATCTGGCGGCCGCGCTATGAAGAGAGGGCTGGTCGGCGCGAGGCGGTATACTCGGGGGATACTCGGTAGACCTGGGGATTTGGCGGCTCCGGTATGCGGACTGGGCTTGGTCGGGAGGCCTGTTCTTGAACTCTAACAGCCCCAACCTGTCGGGTGGGGAAGCATCCCATGCCAAGAAACACCCTGCTTGCCTCCAGGGTGCCCCTTGGTTTCTTGGGTCTCGATGGTTTTGCGATGGAGAGCGCGACGTTCCCACACCAGAAATCAGTGGACGCCCTGGGGTCTCAGGGTTGGGCTTCTCGTGGAAGGCTTCTTGTGGTCGGGCCCCCACTGTCTGGGTTGTGGTTGCGCAGCGGTTTTCTCCCAACCCCCTGTCCTTTTCCTCCTCCTCCTCCTCCTCCTCCTCCTCCTGCTGCTCTCCTGCTGCTCTCCTGCTCCTCCTCCTCCTCCTCCTCCTCCTCCTCCTCCTCCTCCTCCGCCTCCTCCTCCTCCTCCTCCGCCTCCTCCTTTCCCTTCCCCCATAACGGAACGCCCCCCCCCAACTCTTCGCGCGTGCCCCCCGCCCCACCCACCCCCCGCCCTGGGAATGAGTGCGGCGGGCAGCAGCAGGCAGGGCGTCGCGCCCGCGTCGTGCCCCTCCCCGGGGGGGCCCGGGGAGGGAGGCGCGCGGTCGCGGCAGCCCGCGCGGGGTGCACGGGCGCACGCTTGCTGTAAGTCGGGCACGTCCTCTGCAGGAGGAATAAAAGATTCAACAGTTTTGGGGCGAGGTTTCGACGTGTCTGAAACTCTTGTGGGAGATGTTTTGGCTGTGTGTCATGTTTCCGTCCAGAATCCCCCCTGTAGGAGGCCATGCCCTACCCAACGCTGGATGCACTTGCCTCCTGCTGGCAAGCTGCAGGCACAGGAGCGGGCAGCGGCGCCGTGCGCCTTGGCCTGGGAGTTTCTTCGCGGGCTGCCGCGGAGCAGCGGGCAGCTGTACCTCGGTGCACCGTCGGCTTTTCGCTGGCCGACGACCAGGTTCGCCGCGAGCATGCCAGTGATGGGCAAATGTTCCACCACTACTACCATGTGTAGGACGGGGGAGAAGGGAGGACGAGGAGGTCCTCCTCCTCATCCTCCTCCACCTCCTCTTCCTCCCTCTCCAACCTATGGTAGTGGTGGTGGAGAATGGGCCCATCATGCCAGCACACCTGATTCGGTTTTTCAGGCTGGCGTGTCAGCGGGCGTTCTCTCGTGCCTGCTGCGCGCGACTCTGCAGATTTTCCAATGAGTGATGCTGGACCTCGTGAGGCAGTTGTCCCTGCCTCGAACGAGACGCGCGGCAGCAGCCATCCGTGCGTCTTGCACGTCATGCGAGTCCTTGGATGGTTGCTTCGGGGAAGAATAGTTGGAAAAATGGCCGCGCCGTCAGGCTGGCCGAAATAGAAGAACGAACATCGAGACGATGACTGATATCCGCTGCCGGTTTCAGAGCGAACGTCCCCATACTGGTGGCGTACATCGTCTACCTATCAGCAGGTTCTGTCCAGTTCGGACAGAATGTTCTGTTCTGTCAGGGCACCGTGCTAGAGAAGGATCAAGAAGCTGGCTTCGTCAAACGCACTTGTGTCCTTCCCCACCTCTCCTCCTCCAGGTCGCCCAGATCGGACCAGAGCTGATGGGGTCGGAGGATCACTTGGCGTCGCCGATGAGCCGTCGATATGGCGCGATTTGGAGCGCGATTTCTCCGTCCCGGTGCCGCCGAGGTGATGCCGATGCATCTTTCGGACGCTCGAAATGGGTCCGGAAACAATTGGGTACAATGCTGAACAACAGATGTTGTCCCAAACCAACATCGGCCGCTGTTGGCAGGCGGCCTGCTGTCTCCGATGGACACAGGCCGCGGCGACACCGACAGCGAGTCCTGTTCAGAATGAACAGGAACTGCTGTTGGGCATTGTACCCATTCTTTCCGTACCCATTTCGGGCGTCCAAACATCTCGGCCACCGGGTGCGATCCCCCCGTTCCATATATATATATATATATAGATACATATATGTATCTATATATATGTCTATTCTTCCTGTATTTTTGCAAGCCCGGGCGGGGGGGAAACCCGTCACCCCCCCTCCCAAAACCGGACTCCCGGGATCTGGGGCTTTGGGACCCTCCGGACGGGCCTCGAAGCGGCCCCCCGGGCCTCGCAGGGCGTTTTGCCAAGCCTTCCCAGCACACCTAGGGCGATCAGGGGGTCATCGGAGACGTCCAAAAGACCCCCAAGACAGCACAAGAGCGCTCCAAGAGTCACCGACGTGACCTCAAGATGGCCCGAAATGCCTCCAGGACGGCCCCAAAGAGGCTTCCAAGAGCGCTCCCAAGAAGGCCCCAAGAGGCACAAATCTTGGATTTTCTGTGGGTTTTTGCTGAATTTTGGGGTTCTCTTTTCGGCTTCCCGACGCTCCAAGACGGCGGTCTTCTGGGCGTCCGAAGCCGCCTGGGAGGCTCCAACATCGCACCACAACCATCCGAAAGGGCTTCCAGGCGGTCCAAGAGAGCCCCAAAACGGCACAACACGGGTCCAAGATGGCCCTCAGAGAGCAAGATGGCCCCAAGACACCTTCCGAAGCATTCCAAATCGTGACCCGGTCGTTCAGGGAGACCGCGGTTGGAAGCAGGGTGGCCCGAGGAAGTCCCCAGAGGCCCCAGAATACGCCCAGGAGGCCTCCAGAAGGCCCATGTCGCCCATGTCGCCCATGTCGCCCGCGAATACGTCCAGAAAGCCTGAAGCAACTTTTGTGAGGCCCCCAGAGGAGCTACAAGGAGGAGCCTCCGCAAAACAGATCTGAGGAGGATGGGGAGAATGCGCAGGGTACGGCGAAAATAAGGAAAAAGAAGCATGGAAGAAGGATAACGAATAACATTATTATAGCGGCGATGCCGCTGCCTGAAAAGGGAACAAGGAGTTATCTCTAAATTGTCGGCTTGACCTTCCTGCTATTCCGCCTGCATACCAAACTTTAAGGACCAAGGTGCATGGCACGAAGCGCCACTGCAGTCTTGTATATATATATATATATATATATATATATACATATATATATATATATATATATATGTATATGCATATATATACATGCACTCATGTATATATATATATATATGTATGTATATGTATATATATGTATGTATGTATGTATATGTATATATATATATGTATATATACATATATATACATAGATTGGGCGGCCTCCGCCCTTCGTTGGGATTCTTCACGTGGCGCGTGCGGACGAGGGGTGTGGAGATCGTGGCCAGGGCCCTGAAGTCTCTTAGATTTCGTGGCCTCTCCTTCTCCGTTTATGCGTTCCTCCCGTTTTGGCCACGCACATGCAGTCGACCCGCATGGTGAGGACAGGCAGCCTTCCCAAGGGTGCCCCTGCATCCTTGCTTCCTCGGTCCATGCTTGGCCACTTTCGTTGGCCGCGCCCCGCTCGAAAAGCCTCGAGGTGGGCGTCCAAGGCCCTTGCATCCTTCTCGCGCATCCTCATGATTTGCGCCGGCTGTACGTCTGAGCATGATGCGCTGACCCCTCTTGTCCTGGCCCCTCTTCTCGGCGCGCCCAAGCCATACTCGTCCTCGTCCGCCCCGACGTGAGAGGGGGGTCGCAGTCCACCCTGCAGGGGTCCAGCACGAAGCCCTGTGCCTATGCTAGGCCCTTTTTGCTCTTACTCCGACCATGGCTGTGCTATCACTCAAAAAGCTGAGGGCGTTTTGTTTTTGTTTTCCATGTTTTGTTCTTGATTCGGCCATCAACGTGTTAAAGACGGATTCGCACACAGTGGGCGCCAGGCAGACGGCAGCGTGATATTTCAATAAGCGCTCCAAAACGCAATGCAAACGATAAGAACACGGGCACACGGGCCACGGGCCTATCTATGGCTGAAGACGTATCAGCATCGATTCCCACAATGTAGAGACAAAAAGCACGTCGACCGTCAAGCCGGGGCATAAGATGACCACGTCGTAGATAAGAACGTAAGAATATAGAATTGGTCGCTGCAGTAGGGAAACAAGTCCCGAGAAGAGAAACACGCACCACGGCCACGACGACGCCGTCGCCGACGACGACGACGACGGAAACGAGGCGAGCTCCCGAGGGAAGCGGCACCGCGTCTTCCCTGGCCTGGTGTTGTGCGGGGGCCCCTCGGATGCGAACGAAGGCAATGAAGAAGGGCACAACCGCGCAGGCTTCCTGGAAGCCCGCGAACGCCAGGAGGGCGCCAGCGGCAGGCTGGCGGCGCGTCAAGATTGGCGACATCAGTGATGCTGGAGTCGGCTGCGTCTTTGTGCCCGTCCCCCGTCGGGTTTCAAGTCTCTGGAGGTTGGAACAAAACATGGCCGTCGGTACCTTCTCGCTGCAACCCTGGCCCAATCTGGCTGAAGCCCGCGCCACCGCACGCAATTTCAAGCTCATCAGGAGGGGAGCAAACACACAGACACATCTAATCGTCGATCCCCAAGAACTTATGGGAAAATATGGGAAGTGGGGGGGGGGAAAGGCGAAAACCCAGAAAATGATAAAGATATGGGGAATCCTTTGATTTGTGTCCACTTATTCGTGTGTACCTGGCCCCTTTAGTCCACTCCGGCTTAATCGGCCCTCCGTCTGGCTCAATGTGGCTTAGTGTCTGCCCTGGAGTTCTGTGAGGGGGGAGGAGCCCCGTCCTCCTGTCCTCTCCTGAGGGGTGAGCAGCGCCCCCGCTGGCGAAGGGCTTATCATCTTATCTCTCCGTTTGGTGACCCCCAGCCGGTTTTCAGCTGTTGTTGTTTGCTGCTCTCTGCGTGGTGTCGAGACGCGTTTCTTTGGCGGTCTTGGGTTGCCCCAACACGTCTCGTCATTGTCCCAAGCGTTTAAGTGGAGACGCGCATCACGAAACCAAGTGCTTGTCACCAAGGTACCCTGGGCTTCTTCGATCCGCGCGCGGTGCGGTGACTTCCCGCGGCCGTTAAGAAGCTGCTGCGTTCAGGGTGCCCTGGGTTTCCCTTCATGTGCACCTCGCGTGCGGGTTTTGAAGATAGGGTTTCTCGCGACCGCGACCGCACTGTAGTCATATGAACTCACAGTAATTCTGCCCGCGAGGACATCCGAGGAGTTGTCGCCTAACCTCATGGTGTTCCAATCTATTTTCGCCTCGATCACCTGGAATATTTTCGAGCACCAGGAAAGCACCGAAGCTGGAGGGCTTTCACGTGTCGGGCCCTGGGAGGCGATGCTCGTTCGACACTCGTTCGATGTTCTTCTGGGTGCTCGAAATCACATCTGGGATGCGGTCCCTCAGGACGATGGGAGCAGCATGAGCCTAACACCCTTGGCTGTCAGCTGCGCGCCCCTGCCCTCCCCTCACGCCCCTCGGCCCCCCGAGGACTCCAACGAGCTCGACGACATGGCGCTGGTGGCCATCGCCTGCGGCCCCGCCTAGCGGCCCAGCGCGCACGGGGATCGCGGCCTGCCGCAAGACCCCCTGCGACTTGGACCATGGGCGGCACTGTGCGGCCGTCCGCTCGTCTTCGTCATCGTCCTCGGGATTGTTCTTTTTATTTTGTTTTGTTTTCTGTTATCCTCTGGCGCGCCCCCCTCCCGCGCCCCCCCGCCCCCCTCCCACGCCCCCCCCCCCCTCCCACCCGGGCCCCCCCCCTCCCACCCCCCCCCCCCCCACGGGTAACGGTAACGATTGTTATTCCGAGGGTGGGGGGCCGGGACCCCCCGCCCCGTCAAATGCTGGTGCTCGCGAGCATACCATGGCGAGCGCAGCGAAACCCGGCCCCGACGTGCCCCACTCCGCCTAAGCGTTACCGGTGACCAGGGCCCCAATCCCTCCCCCCTCCCGGGTAACTAACGACCGTTACTGGAAGTAACAAAAACCAGTTCTTGCTGTTTTTCCCGCCCCGTTCACCTCCGAATCACTTCCTTTTTTTTTCTGCCCGTTGTGGTCCTTCTTTTTCTCTTCATTATACAGTCATGCCCTGCTTCTCTTCCTCGTTGTCCTTTCTTTCTCCTATTACCTCATCCTCCTCGTTCTTCTCCCCTTCTCCTTCTTCTCTATCATCATCCCTTCTGGCTTGTCCCTTCCGTGCGTTGTCATTCCCAGCATCAGTATCATATTCCTGTTCCTCCTGTTCCTTATCATCCTCGTTCCTCAATCTCTCTGTCTCTCTCATAATCAGCTTCATCACCACCCACCAGCATCACCATCGTCATCAACATCATCAGCATCATCATCGCCAGCATCATCATCACCATCGTCATCACCTTGATCATCACCATCACCCGGATAAGCATCACTGGCATACGCATCATCGTCATCATCATCATCAGCAGCAGCAGTTGCATCACCATCCTCGTCCTCCTCATCATCATCATCATCATCACCATCATCATCATCATCATCATCATCATCATCATCAGCATAATCATCATCATCGGCCTCAGCATCATCTCACCATCACCATCACCACCACCATCAGCATCACCATCACCAGCACCATAATCACCACCATCCTCATAATTGCCATCATCAGCATCATTATCGTCAGCATCAACATCATCATCATCATCATCATCATCATCATCATCATCATCATCATCATCATCATCAGTAACAATATCATCATCGCATCATCAGTGACGTCATAACCATCATCATCATCATCAACAGCATCATCACAATCATCATCACCATCACCAACAACAGTATCATCATCGTCATCATCATCAGCAGCATCGTCTTCGTCATCATCCTGATCATCATCGTCATCTTCCACATCGTCACGTTCCCCTCATACTCTGCTTCTCCGCTTTTAGGGTGCAACTCTTAGGACATCAAATTCGGCCTCGGTTCTGGTAGATCCGTCGTCGAACTGGCCGAATCCCACATAAACCAAGCTACCCCCGCTCAATCTGGCCTAGTCGGGCGCGGCTGGGACAGGGGTAAATCGTACCAGAATGTTCCTGAACGCTCTCAAAGCGATCCGGAACGCTCTGAGATGGCCGCGGCGCCCGATGCATCTTCCAGAACCGCTGGATCTCAGAGATCCCCGATGCATCCTTGTCCGACTTAGTCCCTGTCCTGACCTCGTCTTAACCCTCCTCATCTTCCTTCCTCACACTCCTTGCATCCACCTTTCCCCCCCGTCCCCCTCCAAGCGAGCCCGCGCGCGCGGGCTAGGCAGCGTCAGCTTTCGGGGGAGGAGGGCGGAGGAAGGAAGGGGAGGAGGAGGATGAGGAGGAAAACGGCGAGGAGAAAGAGATGAAGGGGCGGGGGATAGGCAAGCTAGGCACGCTCGCGCCTCATCTGACATCCCACCCCTTCCACCCATCACTTCCCATGGCGTTTTTTTTTCTCTATCCGTAGACGCGTGTCGTAGCCGACGTGGAACCCCAAAGAGGACCCCATCGGGTTACGCACAATCGGAACACAATGGAGTTGCGTACATTGGAGGAGGAGGAGGTGGAACTCCAAGGAGCACTCCATCGGGTTACGCACAATCGGGACACAAGGGAGTTGCGTACATTGGATGAGGAGGAGGAGGAGGTGGTCTGACGCAAACGGTGTTATTGCCTTGCTGCTTGCCCAAGAAA